CCAAAACCATTCAGTGGGGAAAGAACAAATGGTTGAAAACTGGAAAAACTGGATATCCACATGCAAAAGAATGAAGTCAGACCCTTACCTCACACCATATACAAAAATTAACTCAAAATGGATCCAAGACCTAAAAGTAGGAGCTAATACTATAAAACTCTTAGAAGAAAACATGGGGGAAAGCTTCGTGACATTGAATTTGGCAATGATTTCTTGGATATGACACCAAAAGCACAGGAAACAAAAGAAAAAATAGATCAGTTGAACTTCATCAAAATTAAAAACCTTTGTGCATCAAAGGTCACAATAAACATAGTGAAAAGGCAGCCCTTTGAAAGGGAGAAAATATTTCAGATTTTTTATCTGATGAGGTTAATATCCAAAAGATGTAAAGAATACCTAAAACTCAACAACAATAAAAAACAACATAATTTAAAAATGAACAAAGGAATTGAATAGACATTTCTCCCAGGGAGATATACATATGGTCAATGAGCACATGAAAAATGATCAACATCATTAATCGTTAGGGAAATGCAAATCAAAACCACAATTAAATACTACTACATACCCATTTTGATGGCTGAAAAAAATAAAAAGATAAAAAGCATTGTTGAGGATGTGGAGAAATTGCAGTGCTTGTACATTCCTGGTAGGAATGTAAAATGGTGCAGCTGCTGTGAAAAACAATATGGTGATTCCTCAAAAATGTAAACATAAAATTACCATGTGATCCAACAATTCCACTTCCAGGTATATGCCCAAAAGAATAGAAATCAGGGGGGGCCAGCCCCATGGCGTAATAGTTAAGTTTGGAGCATTCCACTTCAGCGGCCCAGGTTTGCGGGTTCAGATCCTGGGCACTGACCTACACTACTTGTCAGCCATGCTGTGGCGGTGACCCACATATAAAAAAGTAGAGGAAGTTTGGCAGCAGATGTTAGCTCAGGGTTAATCTTCCTCAGCAAAAAAGAAAAAAAACGATTTGAAAGCAGGGACTTGAACAAATATTTGTACTCCAATGTTCATAGCAACATTGTATCACAATAGCCAAAGGTAGAAAAAATCCAAATGTCCACAATAGATGAATGGATAAACAAAATTAGTTTATACATATTGTGGAATATTATTCCAACTTTAAAAAGGAATACGTTTTTGATACGTTCTATAATATGGAAGCTTTGAACACATTATGCTAAGTGAAATAAACCAGACACAAAATGACAAATATTGCATGCTTCCACTTACATGGGGTGCCTAGAATTGTCAAATTCATAGAGACAGAAAGTGGAATAGTGGTTCCCAGGGGGGGGGGGGGGGGGGGGTGCAGAGGCCAAGGGATGGGGAGATGTTTAATAGGTACAGAGTTTCAGTTTGGGATAATGAGAAAGTTCTGGAGATGGATAGTGGTTGTGCAACAATGTGAATGTACTTCGTGCTACTGAATTGTACACTTAAAAATCATTAAAACCGTAAATCTTATGTTACTTATTTTACCACAATAAGAAAAATGATGAAGGAAACATAGACTACCCATATCTTTATAAAATATAAATGAAGGCCATTTAATCCTTGATGTGGGTACATGACATCCAAGTAGAAAACATAACGTATCTATGAAAACGTATCTATGAAAATAGAAAAACTTCCATTTCAGTACCTCCTTGAGCAAAGTTAAAAGTGAATTAAGTGGAAAATTTTTAACAAATTTACCAAAATTAACAAAGTTTGGAAACAATCAACAATTATGTATAGATAAAATGGAAAAATTGGTAGGCATTAATAATTATGTAGAAGTATCATGACTAATATTTATAAGGTTTTTAAGAAATGAGGAAAACAGGTTACTTGCAAAAATTCGAGGTCTCCCCAATTTTGTAAAAATTAAAGATATGCCCTAAAGTATAAATGTCTAATATATACCCAGTATTTTTTTTTTATAAAGATTTTATTTTTTCCTTTTTATCCCCAAAGCCCCCCGGTACATAGTTGTGTATTCTTCGTTGTGGGTTCTTCTAGTTGTGGCATGTGGGACGCTGCCTCAGCGTGGTTTGATGAGCAGTGCCATGTCCGCGCCCAGGATTCGAACTAACGAAACACTGGGCCGCCTGCAGCGGAGCGCGCAAACTTAACCACTCGGCCACGGGGCCAGCCCCTATACCCAGTATTTTTAAAGGCACATTTGATACTGGACACTGGCTAATTCTCACGAGTTGATAAAACTTTCGAAATTGAGGTTTCTTCACTCCTAAGTAGGTAACAATTCCTTCTTTCATGTTTGTGTCATGTTGAGTGAGTAAGCCGTGAAACACAGCCGTTTCGTTCAAATCCACGTCACCCCCTAGAAGCTCATGGGCCTTGGCAAAGTTGTTTAACTTGCCTAAGCTTTCTTTTTCTTCATTGGTATAATGGTGACATCAGTCCCACATGCACAGGGTTTTGTTGCTAGATTTAAATTAGCTAATGATGTGAATCTGTATCTAGTGCTATGCCTGACACAGGAGAGTGTAAACATAATTGACTCAGCCACCCTCCTTGGGATAGGCGTGTTGTTGCTGGAATAGAACTGGCAGTGATCGTTGGGTGGGACACTGACAGTATCTAGTGCTCTGGCCAAGATCCCCTGTCATATGAGAGCTGTGATGGTTCATTTCATGTGTCAGCTTGACTGGGCCACAGGTGCCCAGAAATTTGGTTAACCGCTAATTCTGGGTGTGTGTGTAGGGGTGCGTCGGGGGAGACTGACATTTGCATCAGTGCACTGACTAACGGAGATTTGCCCTCCGCAGTGTGAGTTGGCCTCACCCCGGCCATCGAAGGCCTGAATAGAATAAAAAGGCTGAGCAGGAAAGCATGCTTTCTCTCTGCCTGCCTTTGAGCTGGCCATCAGTCTTCTCCTGCCTTTGGACTCAGACTCCAACTGGAACTTACACCAGCTCTCCTGGTTCTCAGGCCTTCAAACTTGGACTAGGATAGACCATCGGTTATCCTGCTCTCCAGGTTGTCAACTGCAGATCTGAGGACTTCCTGGCCTCCATAACCGTGTGAGCAATTCCTTACGATAAGTCTATATATCTATATGTACATATTTGTATCTATACACGTATGTATATATTATCTATATCTAAATTTATATTTCTACATAGATATAGATAGCTCCTATTGGTTCTGTTTCTCTGGAGAACCCAGACTAATAGAAGAGCGAAAGAGAAATCTCAGACATGCAGGGGCTCAGCATCATGCCGTCTAGACTAAGTGACCCCCAGAGGGTGGCTGACGGAACTCAGGGGAGGAGGTCCAGCCAAATGATATTTAAATCAGAACCAAGCTTTCACGGAAGAGGAGATGGGGCTCACACCCAGCAGCGATGCTCCCACAGCTCTGACCCTCCTCCAGTTCCTCTCCGTCTCCAAGCGCTTTCCCTTCTTGGTGGTGGTTTGCAATCTCAGGAGTTCCCGGATGAAATTCGAAACCGCCCCTACCCCTCCCCGCTGAGAGAGAGCAAGGAGAGTGAAGGAAGACGCAGACCACTCCGGTTTGGTAGGTGGCAGGTTTAATAAGCAAGGGAACTTACATAGGAAGCCTGTCTTGGGCAGCTGCAAGTGAGTCATCTCTGGACCACCTGCCAGAGACTTAAAAGTTTATACAGAGGCCTTAACTGGGTTTAGTCACATACCCAGTCCGGATGGTCTCAACACCACATTATTCTCTCAAGGCTGTGTCCTAGGCATGGCTGCTAGCGCAGGAACAGTGGGCAGAACGTACATGCCAAGGAGGAGGGTGGGGATGAGTGGGGAAGGGGCCTCCGGTTGCCCGGGGCCAGCTCTCAGGTCAACCAGCAGTCAGCTCCTCTCCATGACCTCCAACAGCCTCCATCTTTTCAAAGGCTGCCGGCGGGATTCTGCACAGTCTTCTGTTAGGGCACCTCGCTATCCAGCGTTGTGGTCAAGAGAATAGTCATTTGAAGGAGTTCCCTGTTGGGAGCCAGCCCCAGAACACCCACTTGTCTGTTCAGACCTTTTGTTTCTTCCTCAAATTGTGCTCACACAGTGGGTCATTTTCAGGAAGTTTGTAGGAAGAAGAGATGTCTTTAACTTCGGATATTAAAAAGCATCTTAACATACAGAGTTCTATCACATTTTTTCCCTTTTTTCTGTAATTTTCTCCACAATTATTCATAAGCAGACATATCACATGGTGATTTGAATCATTCTACCACAAGTCATCATGAGACTCACTTTAAACTATATAATGTAGAATAATTTGCCGAACTTTTTCACTATTTTTATATGTATAAGAAATACATGTAAATTTATAAATTCATCTAACAGCTATGAACATGTTTATAGGAAAAGTTTATATTTTTTATCGATTACCATCATAGGGATAAATTATCATCTCTGAAATCATCAACTGTTGCTCAGTCATCCGCATAATGGGTTGTGTTGACTCACATTGATGCCAGCAGTGTTGGTCTAAGTCTGGTAGCTTCTAGTATGTGTCTAATTCTTGCCTTACTGTCTGTCCTTGGCATGGCTCACCCCTGCCCCATTAATGTTGCGCTTGGCCATATGACTTGTCTAATCAACAGAATATGGACTAATTAGAATGGGTGTATAGACTTTAAAGACACTTTAGGCCAGCCTTTTGTGCTTCTGCCATCCGCCATGAAAATAAGATGCCCTGGAACTTGCTGGCCAAAATAAAGAGACACCAGAAACAGAAGGGTAGAATAACCTTTTTAACCACGTGAAGTATTTCACAATCACCCCTTCTAAGAAAGCAACTGGAGGCTTTCCATCAGGTGAGCGAGTAGAAAACTGGAAATTCAATATAGGAGAGACGTGAAGAGAATCCCTAATGATGGTGATGGGTAAGGCCACAGTCTCTCTTGTGCACCAGGCACAGAGGGCGACCGGTCCAGAGTGGATATTTAAAAATTGTGGCCAAAGATGATGTAGACCCTTTCTTCCACAGTAAACACTCAAGTATAATAAAGGTAAATTGAACCCAAATTTTTATTAGTGAAATCCATAATACTGGTATACAGCTGACGCTATATTATGAAGCATTAAAGGAATATTTTTAAATCTTGAATGTCTACCTTGAGGCAATATACTCTATTTACATAGAACGTCTGCCCAAAAATATGGAAGAGGCTGAAAAACCTAGTTTTTCAGTAGTTATCTCTGAAGATCTTTGAGGAAAGCAGAGAGAATAACACTTTTTTTCTTTTGAATTTAGTACTACGTGTGCACGTGCTATGAAAACGAACTGAATAAATATATCTCCCCAAATTCCAATTACACCTTTGTTCATTTCCTCATTGTAAATTTTGGCCATCTTTAGTCTTGAGGCTAACAGAATTCCAGGAATTAAAAGAGTAGGCTCCTCTGACTCTGGGAGGAAAAAATACTTACAAGGTTAGACCAATAATATTTCCCCTGTTCCCCACAGCTCCCAAAAATCAGATAATAAAAAACTCCTAGTAACTGTTCTCACTAAATATATAGACTTTAATACTTCAGAATTTTTGCTGTCTTTTTAAAATAAACATTAACCTCTCAATGGTCTGTAATTATGTTTGGTGGTCTTAATTATACATACATTTAAATTGTCATGTTTTATGAACTGTATACATATTTGTAAAATTTTTGTTAAAATAAATGATCTACTTTATTCTGGTTCTTTCTTCATACATGCATGAAAAGTTAATGAAATTTATGAGTCTGCTAGAATTCTTATTTAAATGAAATGTTAGAAAGTCTGTGACTAATTTAAAATAAAACCAGTAATTATTTCAGAAATTATGCATAACCCATTTTAGCAATTAATGCAAGAGCACACGTACACTCTTGGCTAATGGGCAATGCTTCCTTGCTCCTAAGAGAGAGTCACAGGAAATGATCTCTCTTTTTCCTCTGGATGTTGTCATGTCAGCATAGAACGTCTAGCAACCTATCATGGTACCAACCAACACCAGGAGATGCAGAGTGAAAACTGGAAGAGAATCTCTCTGTACATTTCATTTTGCTGATGAGTCAAAAATCTCTGGAGCCCGCTGTCCTTCTGTAAACCTGTTATCTGACTCCATATAGTTTCTCATTGCTTCAGTCAGTTTGTATCCTGTGTCTAACATCTACGGGTCATAGTTCATACCGGGAGCTGGAGATACCGAGATGAAGCCGATTTCATCACAGCCATCAACCAGCTCACTGTCTGCTGGAGGATGAACATACACACACACAAACACACACAGAGCCATGGCCTGGGTGTTAAGTGTTGTCCTACAGGTTGTACAGATGCTTTGTGAAGCAAGACGCACCTAATGCATCCAGTGTCAGGAGCAAGGAGTGGAGAGAGATTGCAAGAATATCCAAAACGCCAACAATCAGAAAAAGTGGAAATGTAAACCACAGTGATGGCAATCAGGTACCACTATATACCCACCAGAGTAGCAAAAAAGAAAAAAATTTTTTAACTCATGATGCTAAGTATTGTCAAGGATATGGAGAAAGAACACTCATACGCTGCTGGTGGAGTGCCAGTCAGTACATTTGTTTGGGAATCTATTTAGAAGAACTGAACTTACTAAAGTTGAACACAGACATACTCAGGACCAAACCCAAGCAATTCCACGTCCGGAATATACAGAAAGTACATGGTGTGCAGTATCTACAGAGTACACGTGTGCTCTGTAAGACACGTACACGCATGATCGTAACAGTCCTATGAGGAGCTCCAACCTCCCAATACAGTATTCCCAAGAACACAGAAGGAAGGATTTTCAGTGAAGGGCTGTGTTGGAAAGTTCCTTTTATATGGATCTTAGCTGGGACTACAGGACTATGAAGGCTCCTTAAAGAAATTGTGCTGGGCACACAGTGAATTTGTGGTGTCCAAAGTAGGAATTCAAAGACAAGAAAAGCAACATATGGAACTAGAAAAGTGATTAAGGATCTCTAATTCAAAACAAAACAACCCAATACAGTCATCCAATTTTAAAAACAGGCAATTGCAATGCAAAAACAAACAGAAATACATTTAAAAAGAAAACTATTATACAGTCTCACTCATGAGATGTAAAAACTCTAAATAAAATAACAGCAAATGAAATCAAGCAGTGCATCCCCAAAAAACAGAAAAGAATGCATCAATGACTAACCTGGGCATATCCAGGAATGGGAAGAAGTCAAAGAATCTGTCATCATAAATTATCACAGTAACAAAGTCAGTCTATACAATTGTAGGAAGAGATGATGAAATGACATTTGATACAACCCAGGAGCCATTTCTACTTAGATACAACGAAGACTTTTACTCACAAATAAGAGAGAACATTAGAAGGCATCCTTTTGAGAGCATGACGCTAACTGCCATGCCATCACAGCTAAGAGCCAGAACTGGTGACTGAAACTTGCAACTTCCGAGTTTCTTTTAGTTATGGCAACATTTCCCAATGCAGTTTCACATCCCTAAGTAAGGGAAATTGGTATTTCCAGGGCAAAGTTTGAGATACACCAATTTAAACAAAGTTCAGCACTTTTCTTCACTAGAATAATCTCAAGTCTTTTGATAAACTGATAAGGTGCTTTTTGGTTGTTCCTTAAGAGGGGATTTAGATTTTGCTTCATAAGCTGCTTTAACCAGAGAAGCCCCCTCGTTTTTCAAGTACTGTTAAGGACTGGTGATTTTTGAGAAATCACTTCAGAAATACTGGGATAAGGCACCATCTCCACATCTCCTAGCTAAAATGCAAATATGGTACCCAGGAGGAATAAAATACTGATTAGGAATGATTCATCCTATTAAAACACTCGAAGTATTCTGCTTTGTGTTATACTGATTATTAAAATTGCAATTGTGTGGGACAACGCTGTCAACCACTAGATGGTAATCACTGAACAGTGAGTTCATGAGTGGTCTGTCCGCACAAAATGGACATCGAGGTGAGATGCAGATTAAAACAATGACTGAGACAAACTACAGACATTTGTTTGTCAATGCAGTTTTGATGGAACTGAAATTTTTGGAAATGAATAATTTTTAAAGGGTTATTCTGTGAGTATATAAACACTCATCTCATCATAACTAATATGCTTTGATGCTAGCACTAAATCATGACAGACACCTGGTTGAAAGCAATTGTGAGAAGTCATCGACTTTGAGATGCATTCTAATATCCAAATATGAGATTCACTCGGAAATATGAAGTGAATATAAAAGATTATTACAGAATTATTGATGATTTTCTTGTGTGACCATGGTATTAGAGTTAAGAATAGGACAGTTCTTATTCTTAAAAGAAGCATGCTGATGTGTTCAGGAAAGAAGTTTCATGATTTCCACATCATAAGTCAAATGGTACATGAGCATAAATACACATACATACATATATATTCAGAGAGAAAGCAAATATGGCCAAATAGTAAGAACTATTGATTCTACACAGAGTATATGGATGTTCATTATACTACGCTTTAAACTTTCTGAATGTCTGAAAATTGTCATAGCACAATCTTGGGAAGGAATTCCCAAATGCACATTTTCTTTTTGTTCTCTTTTTAATTTCTAATTTATTTTGAAATGAGTGGAGAATTTTAATTACTACCTGTCTGTTGGAATTCATTACAGGTACATTGCTTCACAATGTTCCCTGATTCTTCAACGGGTATATTCCCAACATTTTAACACTTACTAAATCCATAACAGTTCTTTTCAGTCTTAATTTTTGATGCAGCTTGAGGGATAAATTCTGAATAAGAATCCTCTCTAGTTTTTTACATTTTACTAGATTTTATCCAGAATGAACTATCTGAAATTCAAATAGATGAGTGGTTATGGGAAGCTTTTCTAAATCCGTTACATCAAAAGGGCATTCCTGTCTTACGAATTCACCAGTAGTGATACTAATGATGAGGATAATAAGAATAGCTATTGTGTATTGTTCGTAGGTTACATAACCAGACACCCTTCCAAAAATCTGACCCATACTAAACCCACTCAGTCTCTACAACAGCACTATTAGATAGTTACCCTCACCAGCATTTTAAACAAGATGCCCACAGGGGATGAGCATTTTGCTCAACAGCCCACAGGCAGTAAGGAGGTGGAATTGAGATGACAATAGGTATGGTTTGTGCCATAGATAAGGGGTTTCCTACATTTGTTACATTAACAGGGTTATTCTCTAGGATGAGTTTGCTAAAGTTTAACAAAGATTGAATAGTGTTGGAAGGCTCTATATATTCACTAAATGGACACATCTGGTATAAATTCTCCGTGCTTTTATGGGCATAAGAAAACCGTGATTCTCACATTAGCCGAATCTTCCTATTGTATGAATATTCTGCTATCCTAATAAGAGAGGTGACAAGCAAAGGATTTCTTATTCTAAGTAAATCATATTGTGATTTGTCTCGTGTTTGAAAAAGTGTCAAGGTTGTCTCTCAAATTATTTCTGAGGAAGGACAAACTTTTTGTTTTTTATTTCCCATTATTCGTGGACTGCTACTTTTGTAAAATACAATGATAATGTTATGGCAATATCAAATTGCTGCAGAAGTTTCCAGACACTTACGCTCACTTTCTGCATTAATCTCATGATGGACAGCTAATAATTTTGTGGACTAGCACCTGCCTCTGGACAATAGTTTGAGTAGCACTCGTCTGAAGCCTTCCTATAATTCTAATTCAAAGGGTGTCTCATTTGGATGAATTCTCTGATGTGCTCTAAGATGTTTACCACGTCTATGAGCCTTCCCACATTCCTTACATTCACAGGATTTCACAGCAGTATGAATTCTCTGATGTGCAGGGTAAAAACCGAATTACATTTAGGTCGTTCCCACCTTCCTTAAGGTGTTTCTAATGAGCATGAATTCTCTGGTGTGTATCAGACTTTGTGCCATGAATTAAAGATCTTCACACATTCCTTGCGTTTACATGGATTCACATCAGTATAAACTGATGTTCAGTAAGATTGTACAGAAGTCTAAAGTCCTTCCCATGTTCATTATATTCAAAATACTTCTCACTAGTAAGAGTCTTCTGATAACAAGTAAATTGTCCATACACAGGTAAGGCTTCTGCACATGCCCTATGTTCATAAGGTTTCTCAAGAATAAGATTTCTCCTCATGTTGAATAAGTTATCCACACACAAAAACATCCATATGTTCTTTCATATCGCTTCACTCGTAAGTTTCACCAGTATCAATTGTCTCATTTGAGTAAGGTGTCCACATAAAGGCTTCCCCCCATTCTTCATATTTGTAGGGCTCATCATTACTATGAGTTCTCTCATGTTGAACAAGGCTTGAGCCATGAGGAAAGGTGTTCCCAAATTCCTTACATTGATAAGGTTTCTCATCAGCGTGAAATATCTGATGAAAACTAAGTTGATAGCCATTATCAAAGGCCTGCCCACACTCTTTACATTCATAGGATTTCTCACCAGTATGGATTCTCTCATGTTTCACAAGGCTCGAACCCCAACGAAAGGCCTTCCCACATTCCTTACATTTAAAAGGTTTCTCCCCAGTATGAATTCTCTGATGTTGAGTAAGGTGATAGCCACGAATAAAAGCCTTTCCACATTCTTTACATCCATAGGGTTTCTCACCAGTGTGAATTCTTTCATGTTTAACAAGACTTGAGGCACAATTAAAGGCCTTCCCACATGCCTTACATTCATAGGGTTTCTCACCAGTGTGAAATCTCTGATGTCGAGTAAGCTGATAGCCACTACCAAAGGCCTTCCCACATTCTTTACACTCATGCGATTTCACACCGGTATGGACTCTCTCATGTTTAACAAGGCTTGAACCCCAAGTAAAGGCCTTCCCACATTCCTTACATTCGAAGGGCTTCACACCGGTATGGATTTTCTGATGCTCAGTAAGGTGATAGCCACGACTAAAAGCCTTTCCACAGTCTTTACATTCATAGGGTTTCTCACCAGTATGAATTCTCTCATGCTGAAGAAGACTTGAGCCACAGTTAAAGTTCTTCCCACATTCTTTACACTCATAAGCTTTCTCGCCGGTGTGAAATATCTGATGTCGAGTGAGCTGGTAGCCCCAACGAAAAGCCTTTCCACATACTTTACATTCGTAAGGTTTCCTGCCAGTATGGATTTTCTGATGCTGGGTAAGTTGATAGCCACGACTGAAGGCCTTCCCACATTCTTTACATTTATAAGGTTTCTCACCTGTATGAATTATCTCATGTTTAGCAAGGCTTGAGCCCCAAAAAAAGGCCTTCCCACATTCCTTACATTCATAAGATTTCACACCAATATGAATTTTCTGATGCTCAGTAAGGTGATAGCCACGACTGAAGGTCCTCCCACATTCTTTACATGCAAAGGGTTTCTCACCAGTATGGATTCTCACATGTTTAATGAGACTTGATCCCCAACTAAAGGTCTTCCCACATTCCTTACATTCATAGGGCTTCTCACCAGTATGAAATCTCTGATGCACAGTGAGGTGATAGGCATTTAAAAAGTCCTTCCCACACTCCTTACATTCAAAATGCTCTTCAGCCATCTGAGTTCTCTCGTCTTCACCAAGTTTGGAGTCAGGACTACAAGCCTCCCCAAATTCCTTACAAACGTAGGGTTCCTCTTGACTATGAATTCTTTGATGAGCAGTAAGAGATTCGCTTTCTCTGTAAGTGGGCATTTCTTCATAGCTGATTATCATTTGACTGAAGTACCCCTCCTGAGGTCCTTGTAGTCCCTCAAATTTGCTTTCGCAGTTCCAATTATTTTTGAAAATGGATGCCTCAAGGCCAAGGGTTTTGCTTCTTTCCTTTATCTCCCATTGGGAAAATTTTATTTCAGAATTGTCCTTTTCCGAAAATGTGTTTTTGGTCTCATCTGTTGACTCCAGATCTGAAGGAAAACAAGAAAACCACACACTTTATTTCCTTTACCCAAAAAGAAGCCCTCTATAATATAAATAAAAGACAAATTGAAAATAATACCCCTAGGGAACTGGATTGAGAGATTTACTGAACTCTTAAGCATCAAGTCTCTCCCCTGTCAAATGACAAACTCAGCTTTGATTTTTCAGTTCTATGATCTTAATGTTCAGTCTGACAGTTTTCTGGAAGATCACTAACAAGTCCCTTGTCTTCCCATGGAGATGGTCCCTGACACCAAAATGTGCCCATCCATCAATCAAACCTTTCTGTGCCCAGGTGTAGTTCCAGCTGAACTTTTAATGACTGCGTAGGCTGACAGGATGAACTAGAATCTAGAAAATCCTGAAACTCAGAAACAAACTCATTACACAAGATAATTCTCCCTCACAGGAACTTCTCTGAGAGATTGATGTTGGCTAGAAAGCAGGCAAAATATTGTAGTTCATATAGTTATTAAGTTCCAAGATTCTGCTGGCGTTCAAACAAGAAGTGAAACAAAACTAATTAGAGCTGTACTACAAGCTCCATCCAGCTCAAACTCTTAGACACAGAGTTTAGCCCATCAGTGGTCATGTGGGAAGTTCAGGGCAAAGAAAGATCTTTTAATCTAATTTGAAACCAGAAAATAACTGAAACTAATCAAAGTGTGGGGGATCAGAATTGGCTGCCCCAAAATCGTCTCCTTGGCTTGATTATTTTTAAGAACAAAAGAACCTGAAAGAAATTTTGACCTCCCCCATAACTGCCTAAAAGAATTTAAGGGGTCAGCCCAGTGGCTGAGTGGTTAAGTTCACGTGCTCCGCTTCAGCGGCCAAGGGTTCACTGGTTCGGATCCTGGGTGCAGACCTAGCACCGCTTGTCATGCCATGCTGAGGCGGCGTCCCACATGCCACAACTAGAAGGACCTACAACTAGAATATACAACTATGTACGGGGGTGCTTTGGGGAAAGAAGAAAAAAAAGAAAAGACTGGCAACAGATTTAGCTCAGGGCTAATCTTAAAAAAAAAAACAAGGAATTTAAAATAGAAGGGCCTATTCCAGGAAGGAGCTAATACCATGAGATAACTGTAATGCAATGTAAAGTAATGTAAAATGTGTCTCTCAGGTCACATTGTCTGTAGTTGGCCCATGTATATTTCCATCTCCATAAATTGCCTTCCACCCCCTTGAAGTCCCAAACCACTACCTCTAACACCCTCCTTTGTCTTTAGCTGAAGATAGTATTTAAGATGAGAGCCTTTGCCATTTTGGTGATTTGCTCAGTTTTCCTGAGTGTCTCCCACATATACATATTATAAAGCTTTGTTTGATTTTCTCCTGCTGTTCTGTCTCATGATTTAATTTGTAGCCCAGCCAGAAGGACCCAGAGGGTAAAGGATGTGTCTTCCTCCCCTAAAGTTTGGTGACTGGATAGGATAAAACTTCACTGGCTGGATGCTGCTCACTCCTGAACTAATGCAGCTGAGAGATCCTGGACCCCTGACAAGAGCTGGCAGGAGGCAAGAGTTCTTACCACATCAGTCTCCTGGATCTCTGCCTGCAGGGTCCAATGGAAGTGAGAGTGGTGAGTTTTTCGCTTTTCTAAATTTAGATTAGCAGGAGAAAAGTTTAGTGAAGCTGGCCTCTTGGACTCAGCAACTCTAGGATTTGGTTGAGCACTCATTGGTTGTAGATCTTTTTCCTCCCAGAGATAGTATTTTTCTTTATCTCTGTCTTTTTTTGTCATTTGTCATAAGACACAGGCATCTTTCTGAGCCTGTTGTCTGGGAATACGCACATGAAGTGAAAGCTGTTGCTAAGGGCATCTTGGAAGCCAAAAAGGCCAAAAATTTGGTGGGCAGTGAAGAGCCATTGAGGCACTCACCACCTCAAGAATTGTCCTGAGAAAGGAAAGGTGGTCATGGAATGGGGTAAATGACACAGGTCACCCCGCCAACTTCAAGAAAATGTCCATACAATGACAAGGTACTCTGTAAAGCACACATGACCCCCAAGCCTGTGGCTCCTCCCTCCTGGGTACTAATTTGGCCCTGAGATACCCAAGGCTTAGCTAAAGCTGCTAATGTGCTTCAGATGAGGTTTTTCTTTTGTCTTGTTCTGTGTCTTGAGAGCTTGGCTTTGTGACCTTTCTGGTCTCTGACATCCAGAGGATGCATGTACCAGCATGCATCTTGGTGGCCAGTTGAGTAGACTGGGGCTCTGGGACACACTCTTCATCTGGCTGTGTGAGCTCTCAGGGGAGTTTGTCATAAGGGGTCCCAGCTGCTTTCATAACAGGCCTCTGTCATCTCAACCTTCATTGCTTGTCATGCAATGAAGCCCTTTGCTTTGACTATTTTTGGATATGAACTTTCTGAATCTCTTTTGGGGATGCCTCTTGTATCCATGGTTAAGCTTATTGGTATAAGTTGCTGTTAACATCCTACTTGTCAATGTGGCCAGGTATGGATTGTTTAAATTGGAAAAACTTCTAAATTGGGGGAAAAAATTGTGAGAGCTCTCATAACTTTTATTGGACACTATGAAAAGGCCAAATTAAACGGGAAATCCAAAAAAAGAAAACAAATTACTAGCCTTAAGACCCACACTTGGGTTACAGTTAAACTGAGAAAATGTGAAAGTACAAGTGTTGATAAGATTTTAAAGGTTGGAATGTTTGAGCTGACTTCATATAAAGAGGTTATATCAACTGTGCCTGAGTATGTTTTAAAAATGTCTGACTGAGGGGCTGGCCCCATGGCCGAGTGGTTAAGTTCACATGCTCCACTACAGGCGGCCCAGTGTTTCATTGGTTTGAATCCTGGGCGCGGACATGGCACCGCTCATCAAACCACGCTGAGGCAGCGTCCCACATGCCACAACCAGAAGGACCCACAACGAAGAATATACAACTATGTACCGGGGGGCTTTGGGGAGAAAAAGGAAAAAAATAAAATAAAATAAAAATGTCTGACTGAGAATGCTTCCTCTATCCAAAATTATAAGACCAAGACCTATTGATAAAGTCCTAATGAAAACTATGATGGAATTTAGATGAAATTTTGTACAAAAATTAATATATTTATGGGCTTTACATGGAGCAATTGTATCTTTTTCCATGATTGTATTATAGATTGTATTGTGAGAATAGACAATGTGTCTCACTGGAGAAAGGGAATATTTCCCATGCCTGATTGTAAGACAGCATATAAATCTGCCCTTCAGACAGTGTTAATTAAACTTACTAAAGGGACGTCAGTAAGGTTGCCTGAACCCACAGAACATGAGGTAAAAACCAGGGTGCTTTAAAGGATAATAAAACCTCCCCCACCAAGGTAAATTGGTCTGGGGTTAAATTGTACACTTAGAAAGAGGGCCTTTGTTAAATGCTTTGTGCAGACTTTTAAAGGTGTGATACATTGTCCTGAAAGTTTTACAACATATAAATCTTTGATTCACCTCTCAAGCTAAAAATTCCCTGATATAAAGAAGCCACTGGAAGGATGTAGCTGGAGGGGTGGGTCAGCTTCTTTTTCTGTCATTCAAGCTGTAAACCGGTTCTTTGGGGAACTGGAAGCAACTGTCTTTGTCTTGCAAATCCCTGCAAAGGTGGAGGTACAGTCCTAGAAGGCAGTTCAAAGTTCACCTGTCTTTTGCCAACCCCAGAGACTCCCCTGTTCCTCCCCAAATACTCCTAGATGTTGACTGAGACAAGAGATTGAGACAGTAGAAACAGATAAGGCAAATATGCCCCAGAAACTCCATCTTGAAAAAAACTCAATGGCTTTCTCTGTGCCTTTATGATGCAGATTTTCTGCTCCCGTCTTACTAGGACCTGAGAGCCATTCTTTGAAATACAAATGTTTCTCATCAACTAGTGTTTTGCACTGCACCTGATTTGTAACAAAAATTTTACGTCTCTGTCTGTGTCTACCTGTGTGTCTATATGTGTGATATTTTACCTCCAGATGATATTGCCAAAATTAAGAGCTCTATTTAAGTGTCTTAAAGCAAGTTCTTACATGTCTTTCAAGTTAACATGATAGGAAATAATCTTTGGTAACTGAAAGCTTACTTAAGTTTGTTGGTTTGATTAAAATGGACATGTCCTCAGAGTTATTGGCATTGCATATGATGCACACATGGAGCCTTTATTGTACATTTATTGGTCAAATAAGCTGATGTTATCTCTATTACAAAACTAGTTAACAAAAGTAATAAAATGATAGCTAATTTTGTCTAATGTCTCATGAAATTTTCATGGGTAATCTAAACATAATTGTTGGGAAGAAATAATTTAAATGTAAATGAGATGAGTTTAAACTTTTAGCAAAAGTTATACTTTATAACTTGTATTTAATAACTTCAAAAATCTCTTTAGTAATTTGAAACTGTGAAGTTTGGCTCAATTAAATGATGGAAAATTCATTAAATATGTACATTATTTCTAAATAATATAAAATATTAGACATTAATTACTAAATATAAGTTTACCTACTTTTGTCTTATTACAGAAAAAACTAAAAGGTGTTTTGGGTCTATTGGTAAACATGTCTTGTATTTAAGTAAAATATTTATTATAAAGTAACATATTTCTAAAACTATAAAAAGTATTAATAAACTTGCCAAGCCACAGTATGCTAATGTAAAAGACACTCTGTAATTACTTACTTAGTTTTTACATAAAAAATTAAGGTTTCTAAGGGTTAAAAATTCTAATATGTGATTAAAGCTACTAAAAATTAATAAGAAAAATGTTTGTATTCAAGCAAAGTAAGATGTAAGTTTTTAGTAAAGAAGATATAAAGAATGGAAATATTTTTGTCAGGTTAAGAAAGATAAATTGGGGGGCTAGCCCCATGGTACAGTGGTTGTTTGCACATTCCACTTTGGTAGCCCAGGGTTCATGGGTTCAGATCCCGGGTGTGGACTTATGCACTGCTTATCAAGCCATGCTGTGGCAGGCATCCAACATATAAAGTAGAAA